AGTTTATTGAATTCGAATTTCGAATTGTTCATGAAAATAAAAATGTATAACTTTTAGAATTTTACTCATTTTTAAATATGGAGTGGACGCTTAAAGAAGACCGTGTTGCAGTTATTGCGTTGCATCGTTGCGGTTACGCGCCAATTCAAATTTTTAACATACTGAAAAATTTGAATATAACCAAAAGATTCGTTTATCGTACCATCAAACGATACAATGAAGACCAGGTCAAGAAGTGGTCGCCCTCGGTCTATTAGGACTCCAGCAGTGATAAAAGCTGTGAAGGCGCGAATTCAAAGAAATTCCAAACGTAAGCAGAAACTGTTGGCCCTTCAGATGGGATTAAGCAGAACCACGGTGAAAAGGGTGTTAAATGAAGACTTAGGGCTTCGGGCATATCGAAGAAAAACAGGACATCCTTTGAATGCTCGTCTAATGGACCTGAGACTGAAGAGATGCCGCGCTTTGTTGAAGCGGTACGCGGGAAAAAAATATCGGGAAATTCTTTTTTCGGATGAAAAAATTTTTACCGTAAAAGAGAGCTACAACAAACAAAATGATAAGGTGTACGCACACAGTAGTGAAGAAGCGAACAACCGTATTCCGCGTGTCCAACGAGGTCATTTTCCATCCTCGCTCATGGTATGGTTGGGAGTTTCTTATTGGGGCTTAACAGAGGTACATTTTTGTGAGAAAGGTGTAAAAACGAATGCAGTTGTGTATCAAAATACAGTCCTGACGAACCTTGTGGAACCTGTTTCTCATACCATGTTCAATAACAGGCACTGGGTATTCCAACAAGATTCGGCGCCAGCTCATAGAGCGAAGAGCACACAAGACTGGCTGGCGGCGCGTGAAATCGACTTCATCCGGCACGAAGACTGGCCCTCCTCCAGTCCAGATTTGAATCCGTTAGATTACAAGATATGGCAACACTTGGAGGAAAAGGCGTGCTCAAAGCCTCATCCCAATTTGGAGTCACTCAAGACATCCTTGATTAAGGCAGCCGCCGATATTGACATGGACCTCGTTCGTGCTGCGATAGACGACTGGCCGCGCAGATTGAAGGCCTGTATTCAAAATCACGGAGGTCATTTTGAATAAACTTTAGTGTCATAAGAATCTATGTTTTGTTAAGTTCATTTTGGTATATGAATGGTTACATAATGAATAAACTTGTTTCAATTATTTTACATTAAACATGTGACAGAATTTATGACCTGACTAGGTATAAGTTTAGGGGCATCAGCTACAAGATGCCGCTAGTTTCGATACAGAAAAAAATATATTTGTCTTAAAGTATCGCAACTTCAGAGCCCTCATTTCAATCAGGCCAAACGACTACAGGAGAAAGCTAATAGTAGTCTTTAAAAGGTTAATAGCCGCGTGAGTTTAAAACAATTTAATTTTAGAGTTTGCAGTGAACACACAGCTCGAGATTTACATTTCGTGGCCCCGTCGCGGAAACTGGGTCACAGTATCCATCGAGCAAGGGCCAGTGGGACTTTTTTAGATTACACGGGATCTTTCATTGTTTTTATACGACGACGCCTTAAGGTTTTATACGGCTTGCACCGAATTCATGGCTTTTATTTAATCAAAACGGAACACGGTAGAGTTGGCTAAATTCGTATTATTCCTGTTGTAAAATTGCAATCAGGGCTTAGGAAACATACTGTCATCGGGTCGTTGTTGCGGGTTGAACTCAAACTCCAGTATGGGAAAAATTTATTTATTCCACACGCATACTAAAGTCGTACATATGGACAATCAACCGATTTTTATATTATTATCAGTAAGTTTCTATCTCTCCATCTGACAGCCTACCTTTTTTTTCTCCCTTAGGGATGTGTCGCGTTGCTAGTGACGTGAAAAACGATTCGACACAAGAGTTCACGTATTCAAATTGGTAATGATGTATGAATTGTAACTGTTCTTGATGTATGAATTGTAACTCTTGTGAGTCCGCGCGGGTGGGTACCACCACCCTGCCTATTTTTGCCGTGAAGCAGTAATGCGTTTCGGTTTGAAGGGTGGGGCAGCCGTTGTAACTAACTTGAGACCTTAGAACTTATATCTCAAGGTGGGTGGCGCATTTACGTTGTGGATGTCTATGGGCTCCAGTAACCACTTAACACGAGGTGGGCTGTNACAAGAGTTCACGTATTCAAATTGGTAATGATGTATGAATTGTAACTGTTCTTGATGTATGAATTGTAACTCTTGTGAGTCCGCGCGGGTGGGTACCACCACCCTGCCTATTTTTGCCGTGAAGCAGTAATGCGTTTCGGTTTGAAGGGTGGGGCAGCCGTTGTAACTAACTTGAGACCTTAGAACTTATATCTCAAGGTGGGTGGCGCATTTACGTTGTGGATGTCTATGGGCTCCAGTAACCACTTAACACGAGGTGGGCTGTAAGCTCGTCCACTCATCTAGCAATTAAAAAAAACAGTATGCGCAAAAATAATGTTTTTCAAAGCTATCTGTTCTCTATGGATGAGCAAATTAGCCGGTATTAGCAAATTCTAGCAAGAACAGTATTTCGTTGAACGTACCACCGAATTGGAATCGCGACTCACTGAGAAGATCCGGCGAGAAACTCAGTGGGCTGTGTCTATGGGTTAGCTCGCCCGTCGAGCTCTTCATCGTAATCGACAATCCAGAGCACGTTTTCAGCGCTTTCCTTGTACCATTCGACTCTAAGACGGACTAACGCTATGGCATTCGCGATATATCCCGAATGCTGTGACACGTCCTTCGTCAATGGCCATTCGAAAATATATCTGCGATAGGTAGCCCTTTGGCTATGCCCATAGCATTTCCTATATTCACTAACAAAGGTGACTAATACCGGCCCTAGCAAGAGCAGTGCTTCGTTGAATCTACCACCGAATTGGAATAGCCACTCACTGAGAAGATCCGGCGAGAAACTCAGTGGGCTGTGTCTATGGATTATTTCACTCGTCGAACTCTTCATCGTAATCGATGATCCAGAACCCGTTTTCAGCGCGTTGCCTTGTCTCTTTCCCCTCTAAGAAAAATTGGCCTTATGGCATTCCCAATATATCTCGAACGCTGTAACACGTCCTTCGTCAATAGCCATTTTAAAACATATCTGCGATAGGTAGCCCTTTGGCTGTGCCCATAGCATTTCCGGTGTTCATTAACAAAAGTGACATTTTGACATAACGGCCGTCTGGTGCAGTGGTAAGTGACATGGTCACTACACAAGAGAGTCGCGGTTTCGAATCCCGCCAAGGGAAGATATTTGTATGATAAATATAAATGTCTTTTCCAGGGTTATGGATGTATATTAAATATATGTATGTGTATAATAAAAATCTTACATTTATTTCCGTTATCTGGTACCTGTAACACAAGTTCTTTACGAACTTATCACGGGGCCAGTTAACGTGGCGTGATTGTTAGTAAATATTTATTTATTTATTATTTATTATTTCACTGCCAGTTGAGCCATAATTAATTATGATCCTTTGACTACGAAAGCTAGAAAAAAATACGAGGACTCTTACCTTGCTCGCACACGTAACCGGCTACAGTAATGCCGAGCCCAAGTGCCGTGTCCTTGTTCAAGGACACTTCGTAGCTCAATGTCTCCGGTGAGCCGTTGCCTCGAACTGCCATATCCAATGGTAACCTACGTTCAGGTACAAATTTAAGAACGCAGTATTCAGGAGTTCGGTTTCGCCTCTATATTAAATTGAAGTCAGTCGTCGTGGCCTAAAGGATAAGACGCCCGGTGCATCCGTATCTAGCGATGCACCGGTGTTTGAATCCCACAGGCGGGTACTAATCCTACTAATGAAATACGTACTTAACAAATGTTGACGATTGAGTTCCACGGTGAAGAAATAACATGTAACAGAACAGGTGAAGAAAAAACATGTGTAATAAAATCAAGCCCGCAAAATTATAATTGGCGTAATTACTGGTAATTACCGCCCTGCCTGCGTTTCGGTTTGATGGGTGGGGCAGCCGTTGTACTGTGAAAACTGAGACCTTATAACTATTATCTCAAGATAGATGACGGCATTTACGTTGTAGATGTCTATGAGCTCCGGTAACCACATAACACCAGGTGGACCGTGAGCTCGTCCACTCAAATAAACAATAAAAAATTTATGATGGACACTTAATCCCTGGTTCTGATTGAAGCAGGACTATAGATAAATACCATAAAAGTCTAATGGTCACGGGAAGATTTCGTAATCTAGTTTTTTGTGTTTAATAACCTTAAAGGCGCTGGTTGTGGAGCCGATTGCTTGGTGATAGGCGGAGGCGGGCGCGGAGACGAAACTAGCGCGCCGCGTGGCACGACCGCGACCATAGACGCTACAGGCTGTCAACAAAACATCAACCTTAGGTCAAAAATCGCACGATAACGCTGTACAATGCCCGGTCATCGTTTTTGTCGAAACCGTCGCTTGCGACGAAGGGCTCGACGGGGAAATTAACCCATAGACACAGCCCACTGAGTTTCTCGCCAGATCTTCTCAGTGGGTCGCGTTTTCGATCCGGTGGTAGATTGCTTTTGCTAGGGTTCGTGTTAGCAATGTCGTCAGGTTTGAGCCCCGTGAGCTCAGCTACTAGTTAAGGTTACGCTGAAATAGCCTCTCAAGGCTCTCAGCTTAGGTAGGAAAAAAAAGCAATACAATGCAAGGCTTATCTTTCGTACCCTGTGATGTAATCTCTCCTCGATGATAGTAGGTGGAGGTGATGGCGGAGTAATATCCTCGCAGAGCGCCCCGAAGCCCTCGTGGCCGGCTTCAGCGAGACGTCGCTCCAACTCAATGGGGTCCGCTAACAGCCTGGACGGTACTACCGGAGCCGGTGATGCTCCCAAGGACTGTAGAAAAGAAATCAAATCCAATATATCCTCACAGCAATAACAACGCTTTAGTTGAGATTCAGCCGTAAATTTCGAAGGTTGAGGTTCAATGACCACAAGCAACCGTATACTCCGCACGAAATATATGCAAAATACCGGACCATTAATTAATTAGTGGGTTTTTTATTTATTGCGTAGATGGGTGGACGATCTCATATCCCACCTGATGTTAAGTGGTTACTGGAGCCCATAGACATCCACAACATAAATGCGCCACCCACCTTGTCTCTTCCACCTTCTAAAGTCTCAAGTAGAGTTACAACGCCTGCCCCTCTCTTCAAACCGAAACGCATTACTGCTTCACGGCAGAAATGGGCAGGGTGGTGGTACCTACCCGCGCGGACTCACGAGAGGTCCTGCCACCAGTAATTACGCAAATTAAAATTTCGCGGGTTTCATTTTTATTACACGATGTTATTCCTTCGACGTGGAAGTCAATCGTGAACATAATATGTTGAGTATGTATTTCATTACAAAAATTGGTACCCGCCTGAGATTCGAACACCGGTGCATCGCTCAACACAAATGCACCGGACGTCTTATCCGTTAGGCCACGACGACTTCGAACTAACTTTGTGGGGCTGTATTGTTGTCTCGTTGGTCAGAATAAGTTACCACGCTCACTGAAGTCTCTGTTACAATCACACTGAGGGAAGCCCAAAACCGAACAAAATGGAAGATGTTAGTGCAAAGTGTGACGAGGGTCTTTCAAGGACACCTTCAGCAATGAAGTGTGCGACTAAGAAGAAGAAGAATTGTTGTCTCTAAAGCTTTCTTTTAAAACCAATAGACTAAACCAATAGAATGTTTCCAAATGACTTCATATATTACTATACTAAAATAGCCCCAAATCACCTCCACGACAATGGCAAGGTAACATTAGTCACAAACGCAACATCGATCGATCGAATCCAGATCAGATTCTGTTTAGTTTCAGAATTGTTTTGTTAGAAAAACGTATTGTTTAATGTCTTCAAACTGTTTTAATGTATTTATTCTTAGACCGACATTGAAAAGAAACAAGTTTGTTGTAATCTTCAGCCATATTTAAACAGATAAAAAAGAAGAGGACTTTTTGGCGGTGAAGTTCTGTGATTTGTTTTATTTTGTCTATTTAGTGTTTCTTCAGGTTTAAATGTGTTATAACGTTATTAACAGTTTAGTATCTGTGAAAGTGCACAAATGTGGGAAAATGAAATAATGCTGCTGAACGTAACTTCTCGGGATCCTCCAAAAAGTCCACTGAAAAATGACCACAATTTTACTGAGTTTCTATTTCATTCCATATCATAATCATCTCATTTCATTTCATTTCATAAAAACATTTTTCATATAAAAAAAAAAACATTAAAATTAAAATAAGACTTGACCTAAAGGTCTTAGTTACCAGGTCATAAATCCCTTAAAAAATAAAAAATAAAATTTTTTATATACACACGGCAATCACGGTCGAAAATGACAGTAAGACAAAAATTTAAATCAAGTGAGATGCGCGGTTAGTTCATTCCAAGAGACGATTTGTCAACTACCTTCATTACACGTTGCGGGCTCACAGTGTACACGAGATGACGAGGCGGGATGCAATAAAATCATTTTTTTCTATACACGAAAATCACAGTACCTACTTTAAAGAGATAAATTCTGCCCCATACTCTTCGAGTCTGGCTTGAACTACCCTCGTCGTCATGATATCCTTCTTTAAATCAAACTTAGGATAGGAAACAGGGCGTCTTGTGAGCCCGCACGGGTAGGTAACACCGTTCCGCATATTTCTGCCGCGTAACAGTAATTCAGCTTGAAGAGTTGGACAGCCATGCTAAACGACTGAGACTTAGATATTGTGTATCAAGGTAAAAATAAATAACCTGCCAATAACCGAAGCTATATAGACCGCCAAGGACAAGATGACGTGAGGACGTATAATGCATCAAGTGGTCAATATTTCAAACTAGACACGAACTTCATCAATGAAAAGACCAACTCAGAAGAAGAAGAAGGGAGTAAACTTATCACCTCGGCTAGCTGAACAAAAAAAAACAATACCCATTCGAATAAAGCCTTGTAAATAATGTATAAGCTCAATTAAAACTTAATAAGCTCCAGCGAATAAAGTCGTTTTTCGACGAGATACTGCTGCACTAATTGGGTATTGCGATGCTGGGTTTACACATCCGTGTGTTCTTAGTGTGTGTTTCTTAACGTTCTCGATGGCGTAAAAGTTAACTCAAATTTGTATACAGTTGAAACAGCGATCCTAGCGGCAAACGTAGACATACGTTACAGCTCCATACGAATTTGAGTTAACTTTTACGCTATCGAGAGCGTTAAAAAACTCGCACTAAGCACATTGCAGACGTGTTTATTGCGAGTACCACCAGAACGTATGGCGGGAGAGAGTAGATTAGAGAAAAGAGCAATTTAAAAGCTACTCTACCTAACAATTTAAAAGGAGTACGTACAGTCATATCCGAAATACAAGTTTTTAAAATTGAATTTTTTTTTTTTATTGCTTAGATGAGTGGACGAGCTCACAGCCCACCTGGTGTTAAGTGGTTACTGGAGCCCATAGACATCTACGACGTAAATGCGCCACCCACCTTGAGATATAAGTTCTAAGGTCTCAGTATAGTTACAACAGCTACCCCACCCTTCAAACCGAAACGCATTACTGCTTCACGGCAGAAATAGGCGGGGTGGTGGTACCTACCCGTGCGGACTCACAAGAGGTCCTGCCACCAGTAAAATTTGTCTTTTCCACTAATTAGGCCAACGAATTTGTTGATTACGACGATCGCAGCCGCAGACATCTTTTCACCTTTTCCATTCGATTATAATATAGTCCTAACCTTGTCTAATATCGAAAAAGGCCTTAATTTTAATTATAAGAACGTTACCAATAGGCAGTCGGGCAAAAGAGAACTTAATCTCGAAAATATTTGACAGGAGAATACAATTTCATTACGATTGAAAAATTTCCTTTAGAACATTCAATTGGAGTTCAAAGCATTTTAATAATAAGAGGCCCTATTCGTGCCGAACGCCAAAAACGCCTTCATAAATTTCTATTTGTGCTGCCGTCTTCTAGTACTATCGTATGTCATTTTCAGATATTCAAAACAAGTCAGTATCAAGCAGCTAAGTTGTATTCCCTCGGACCAACTTAGTTTCTCGCCGGATCTTCTCGGTGGGTTGCGATTCCGATCTGATTGTAGTTTTTTTTTTTTATTGCTTAGATGGGTGAACGAGCTCAAAGCCCACCTGGTGTTAACTGGTTACTGGAGCCCATAGACATCTACGACGTAAATGCGCCACCCACCTTGAGATATAAGTTCTAAGGTCTCAAGTATGGTTACAACGGCTGCCCCACTCTTCAAACCGAAACGCATTACTGCTTCACGACAGAAATAGGTGAGGTGGTGGTAGCTACCCGTGCGGACTCACAAGAGGTCCTACCACCAGTAAATAGATTAGTAGATTCAATAGATTAGATAGACAGAATAGACAAGTAGATTCTACGAAGATAGGACAAGTATTAGCAAAATTCGCTCAAGTTGAGCCTGTGAGCTCACCTACCCGTCCTGACGTTACTGCAATAGTTGCTTAGGCTACTAGCAAATAGGTAGGAAAAAAAAGTATTTCCATAGTAAATCAATTATTTTTTTTAACAATTCACACAACACCAGACAGACAAACATAGATTGTAGTATTTGTAGTAAATACATATAATTATCGGCATTTCTTTTGCGTTGGCAAGTTTTAATAACTCTTCATACGTTATGAATCGATCGATAAAGCTCGAACATTTATTGTCGATGTGAAATTGTACATCTCGGTAATAGATTTTACTATCTTTATATTTTATTGATAGAGGATAACGGCAGCTTGGAGAAGCTAATGGTGACTGGAAAGTTGGACGGAAGAAGACCACGAGCCCGACACGTTGGACTGACCAGATCCGCACTACCCTCGACACCACAGTTCCCGATGCTCTACACTCGGCGCGAGATAGAGGCAAATTGCGTGGAATGATCCGGAATAAACTCTTGTTGCGAGGAGGTGGTCACGACCCTCAGTATTGAGGAAACCGAAGCAAGAAGAAGAATAGATTTTACAATTAATAAGATTTTACATGAGGTTCAAATAATGTTTTTCTAAATGTGCACTTGGACTAGTAGTCCTAATTGTAATTTTGTTAACATCATCATCATCATCTTAGGCCTTACAGCCCAGGGTGGGCCTTAGCCTGGTCCAGTATGTCTCTCCAGACTGCTCTGTTCAGGGCTTTCTCCTTCCAGTTCTTGACGCCGATATTTTCGAGGTCGCGCTCCACGCCATCCAACCATCGGAGTTTGGGTCTGCCACGACTTCTGCGGCCCTCTGGTTTGCCATAGAGCAATTGTCTCGGCATTCTGGTACTCTCCATTCGAACCACATGTCCTACCCATCGTAGGCAATTTTGTTAACGAAGTGCTATAATTAAACTATAGTTAATTGCTTTCAAATATTAATTTATTTAGACCGAAACGCGCCATTTTGTCTGCCGAAGAAAGTAATGAGTAGGTAAGTAACTAGTGTCACGACCTATGTCACAGCCAACCTACATTAGAAAAACGAGTAACAAGCAAATGGTCCGGCCAACAAGAAAATACTATCGTTCCCCACCCAAAATGACATTATTATTTCTTTTTTAATGACAAAAAATTCGTTAGTTCAATGAAGGACATTGTATCTATTCGCAAATCCAATGCTGCCTCAAAGATCTTTCGTCCGCTCACGACCCGCCAGAAATATCTTCTTTCAGCGGCCGGACTATACCAATGTACATATGATATTTTTTTTCCTACCTATGCTGATACCCTTGAAAAGCTACTTCAGCTTCACCCTAGCGTGTAGGTGAGCTCTCGGGGCTCAAACCGAAAGTGTTGCTAAAACTGGCCCTAGTAAGAGCAGTGCTTCGCAGAATCTACCACCGGATCGGAAACGCGATCCACTGAGAAGATCCGGCGAGAAACTCAGTGGGCTGAGATTACTCGCCGGGGAGTTTCTATTGTCTTAAAGTTGTTTAATTATCGTCAAACAATCAGCAGCGTTCCCGGTTCGCTGATGTGTAGCAGCGGCAACATTTTGTGGAAACACTCCATGTGCATTTACATTTAAACTTCTCCAATTAAAATTGAATAAAAGTAGGTCGCCTGCTGAGGACTTTTCCGTGAAATCTTGAGAAAGAACGTTTTAATTTGTTTACAAACATCAAAGAGTAATCATCTTGAAGACTGACCTCTTAAAGGTGGAAATAAAGTGAACGTGCATTTAGTTCGTAATATTTGATTATAAAATAAATAATAATTTCATATTTAACAAAAAAAAAAGACATGCCCCCTGAGTTTCTTGCCAATTCTTCTCAGGACGGAGGCTAGTTCTCGTGTGTTCTTGGCGGTAGTTCTTTTGACGTTCAACAAGTATGTACTTTCATTTATGTTGAATAATTTTTTTTTATTTCATTTGATTTGATTTGATTTGTCGAAAAGACGTAAACACAAAACTCTTTGCACGGCTCATTCTCGCCTTTATTTAGCACAATCTTATTATTTCCGAAGTTTTTATTAAATACTTCAAAGCTTCCGCGGTTGCAGGCGAAGCGTACAACTAATTTTAATTATCTTTATGTATATATATTTGTTATAACGCCTCCGCAACTGGTGTAGGGGGTCCAACATTCATATAAATATTAGCCTATCCATTAAATACATATACTTTCTACATGGATACCAAGTTTCAAGTCAATCGGATGCACGGTTCAGTAGGTTAACGGAACATCCGTAAAAACCATTGTAGATTCATATATTAGTATAGATTAAGGAAACAAAGCGTTTGATAAAAACATGTATTTAAAAGGAGATGGAAATCTTCTTATCTCCTCTTTTCGCATTCTATCATACATTATCTCTGCACTGCTTAAACCTCAGATGTAGGCAACTGAGAAAAAAAAAGGTAGGAAAAAAAATGTGTGTGTGTGCACAAGTCACACTCGGTAGAAGTGACACTTATAAAAATAAAAATAATCGCAAGGGTCAACCACTCCGCAGTGCACTGGAGTAGCCTTACCCTGGGGGAACCGCCTGCATAATCACGGTAACCTTACGCCAGGTTAGTATAAATTAGCAAGAGAAATACGAGAACCTCTATCAACTGTGTAACATCTCGTCACCGCGATTCAGGAATTGTTGAATTTACGTGCAACGACATCTGTTGATAACAAACTAAATAGAAATAAAAGTATCTCAGGGCGCTCCGAGAGCCACGACAGCGTGCACGGCCGTCAAAAACACACTGAAGAAGTCGGAGACGCGAGACCGTGTGGAGCGCTTCGTGATTTGTCTTCGCCGCTCGGAGCCGCTTCGGCAAGCCAATCGCGGCACACTTCTTTTCGTTTCGTTTCATTTCGTTTCATCGAGTTTGAAATCACACCCAGCGACTCTAAAAAAGTTTCACTTCAACAAAAAAACTGCACTGAAGGCTGTGAATTTATGCCACGGCAATCAGAGCCAATCGACCTCCAAGTTCGAATGAGGATACTTTATAAATACCTGCATGGGCAGAGAGTTGGATGCGGCCGGTCTGGCCACCAGCAAGCGCACGCAGGCCCCACACTGTCGTAGCACGGCAGCGGCCTGCCTCGCGCACATGCCGACCACGGTAACCGCCCCGATCCGGAGCAGCATATCCCCACTCCTGAGTCTGCCGTCCTGTTCGATAAAAACGCATGCTTGTAATATGGTAATTACTGGTGGTAGGACCTCTTGTGAGTCCGCGCGGTTAGGTACCACCGCCCTGCCTATTTCTACAATGAAGCAGTAATGCGTTTCGGTTTGAAGGGTGTGGCAGCCGTTGTAACTACACTGAGACCTCAGAACTTATATCTCAAGGTGGGTGGCGCATTTACGTTGTAGATGTCTATGGAAAATTGAGGGTAGAAGTAAGAAGCACCAGCTCAGTGTATTAAAAGTGTTCGTTTTTTTTTCTTACCTATTCTACTCGTAGTAACCTCGAGGGGTTCTTCACCGAACTAGTAGGTGAGCTCACGGGGCTCAAGCCTGACGACGTTGCTAACACTAACCCTAACAAGAGCAGTGCTTCGCAGAATCAACAAATTCGGATCGGATCTGTGTCCGCGGAAAGGGAGCAAATGAAGGTGGCGCCATAGTAGCTAATGGAAAGATTTAAAGAACAACGCCATGAACTATCACAGCTCACTTTTTTTTATTTTTTTTTATTGCTTAAATGTGTGGACGAGCTCACAGCCCACCTGGTTTTAAGTGGTTATCTACAACGTAAATGCGCCACACACCTTGAGATATAGTTCTAAGGTCTCAGTATAGTCGCAACGGCTACCCCACCCTTCAAACCGAAACGCATTACTGCTTCACGGCGGAAATAGGCGGGGTGGTGGTACCTACCCTTGCGGATTCCCAAGAGGTCCTACCACCAGTGATTACGCAAGTTATAATTTTGCGGGTTTGGTTTTTATTACATGATGTTATTCCTTCACCGTGGAAGTCAATCGTGAACATTTGTTGAGTACGTATTTCATTAGAAAAATTGGTACCCGCCTGCGGGATTCGAACACCGGTGTATCGCTACATACGAATGCACCGGACGTCTTATCCTTTAGGCCACGACGACTTCAAAATATAAATATATATTCTCTATAAGTGTGGAAAATTTCATACTCCTCCGTCCGCGCAATTTTCGTAAAAAGGGATACAAAGTTTTTGCTTCACGTATTAATATATAGATAAAACCTCGCAATGCTTGATTTTCTCAAATGAAAATACACTAATAACTTTAACACATTTAACCTTCAGAAAACGTGTTTGTCAAACCGTAATCCAAATATAGTTTCCCGCGTTCTCACATTAATTCTAATTCGAGCGCGCATTTACAAAACGCAATGAAAACAAAACGACGTTTTCTTATAACCTTCCGAAGCGCGAAACGTTATGAGCGGACATCAGAAACGACCGAATGTTATGTAAATCGTGTGAAATCACTGTGAATGATTGCTCCATATAATCAAATGAACGTGAGTATGACGGTCGCGAATGAAACTTGAATTGACGCGCAGTTTTTCTTGTTTCCATCGCCGTAAGACATTAGATTCTCGAAAAACAACAAACTACACATGATTGACAGTTACGGAATTAAAAAGAGACGAATAAATTAAGTGTTTTAACCAACTGCCAGAGAGAGAACCATGAACCGCCCAAATCAAGTCCGCAGTGGGATGTCACTAATGAGTGCAGTATGCCCTCAAACAGAAAGAGATGGGGGGCGCATCAAATGAAAATGAAATTAAAGGTGGTAGTCTCTGGTAATGGACTGCTTCTGACTGGTGGTAGGATGACTTGTGGGTCCGCACGGGGGTACCACCACCCTGCCCATTTCTGCCGTGTAGCAGTAATGCGTTACGGTTTGAAGGGTGGGGCAACCGTTGTAACTATACTTGAGAGCTTAGAACTTATATCTCAAGGTGGGTGGCGCATTTACGCTCTAGAGGTCTATTGGCTCCAGTAATCTCTTAACACCATGTGGGCTGTGAACTTGTCCATCCGTCTGAGCAATAAAAAAAAGCTGTAATTCCAGGCAGTATGGTTGAACTTTGCTCCTGTAATTTTGGAAGTAACAGCAAAGAAAAGATTTTCCACCGAGCGGATGATATTTTGCGGCATAACAGCGTTTCAAATGTTATTGTTAGGAACTTGTATATGTAAAGAAAAACCTTTCTTATGTAATTTTTAAAGCCCTCAGTTTAAAAAAAAGGATTTTTCTTATATAGATTGACCGAACTCTATATCATTGAGAAAAAAGATCTAAATGTATCTAATCAACCTAAAGATTTAGTTTAGGTCGTCGCAGTTTTTGGTTTTGTTTGGTTGTTGAATGTTAACCTTCACGTCCACTTGGTGTTTAGTGTCTACTAGAGTACTAGTTGCCATATACGTAACCGCCGGGAACTACATGGCCGATCCTGCGGACCAAATGGTAAACAGTCGACGTCGCCCAAAACACGTCATTTCGGATCCTCCCGATCCACTAACGGTGATTTTAGCTACCTCAAGCACTAGTCATCGTTCTCGGCGAACCCGTCGCTTGCGACGAAGGGCTCATCGAGTAAATTAACCCACAGACACAGCCCACTGAGTTTCTCGCCGGATCTTCTCAGTGGGTCGCGTTTCCGATCCGGTGGGAGATTCTGCGAAGCAGGGCTCTTGCTAGGGTTCGTGTTAGCAACGTCATCAGGTTTGAGCCCTGGGAGCTCACCTACTAGCTCGGCGAATCTAGATTAACCCCTCGAGGTTGCTAGAATAGGTAAAAAAAAAAAGAGTCATGTACTAATAAGACATGATACTCAAACTCTCAATTGTATTTCACAAGGGGTTTCCCGTCCGGTAATAAAATCCTTATTCATAATATTATTGTTACTTATTTTGCGTCAGACATAGAAAATAAATTTAATAAAATATAGATAATATTTAATTGCACCAGTCCGTAGTTTTAGTAGACGCACTGGCGAGACTTTTTGGCGCTCGGCTCAGTTATATTCGAAAACTATCTGTGCTCACATGTAACAAAGAACTAAGGGATGTACCATTAGGCTTGGCATGCGTACCGGCGACGACATTGGTATTTTCTTTCTTTTGTGTATCTTTATTTATTTTATTTATACTTATTGTACACAAAAAAAAAATACAATCAAAACAGATTTAAAGAATGTCTAAATACTATTTACAAAGGCGAGCTTAACTCATTCATGAGTTTTCTTCCAGCAAACCATTATCAGAGAGAAATACGATGTATAAGAGGGGAATAGTGTACAATATAAGAGCTATTAAAGCATGATTTTTAAACTAAGCATTAAAAAAATAATCTAATATTAAATGAAAAATACATATAAATAAAAATACATAAAACAATAACTTAAATACGATTAAAGTGACAGGAAATGTTTCTTCATTTGACTCTTAAAAACTTCTAGAGAGGAACTAGCACGAATAGGTTGAGGGAGAGAATTCCATAATCGCACTGCTTGTATTGTGAAAGAGCCACTATAGCGACTTTTACAGTTCTTTGAAATAACCATTAGCGTATTATGTTAATTTCCAAACGTATTTATGGGCACAAACGTCACTATTGACAATAATTAGCATATAGTTTAGTTTATTCTATATTATTGTTTATTTATTATTAGCAAGATGAAACTGTTATTCTACCATATTTAATAATTAGCAGACACTGTTTTGATGTGAAAATGTTCAGAATATGTTTAATGTTTATATTATTGTTTAAAAACACAAATGACTGTATAAATAATTAAATATTAATAAAGCATAAATATTAATAATAATTTATATTATAATTAACAGTAATAATTTTATTATGTATTGTAATTGTTATGCAAATCATGTTGTTGACACTATCTATTATAGGCTGGATAATAACAATGTTAGTTTATATTAGCTAAAAGTAATTTATGTAAAATAAATTAATGTCAGAATATGTATTGTGAATACTAAGCTATATTTTGTGAATTGTTTCGCAGTAATTACATTTGTTTGTATAAATGATGTTGTAGTTGCTATTTAAACCATCACAAAATGGCTAATTGTGTAAGAACTAAGACGTGGCTTTTTGTAATAAACAATAGTAATGTTAAAATTTATGTAAATTGTATTGTATTTTTATTGTAATAGACCTTATATGTGAAAACCCTGGCGTAGCGCCGACATATTTATTAAGCAGAATTTCTATTGTAGTGAAAGAAATTTCTCTCCTGTTAAATGGAAAGATTTAAAGACGTTACTCGAAGTACAGTTTTGGAACGAAGTTCCTTATCGCGCGTTGTGAAAGGGGGCTAGACGGAAAAAATTCTTACGAAAAGTTGTCACGGCACTTTTTGCTATAGTAAGCTATTGTACGAAGTAATTCATATTGTATGAAGTAATTACGATAATTGAGCCTACTGATTAAGTTTATATAACATTATATTTGTTAATAATAAAAAAAATATTATTATAACTTAAAAAAAAAATTTTTTATTACAATTCCTTCACTAATTAATCGAAAGGAACTTCGTTCCATCCGGGTGTCCCTTGACACCTCTCAAGTTTTTTTTTTGTTTCAGTTTTGTCTTTCCCAAAAAAAAATATGTTCAAGACGGTTAAAGAGTAATGAAATCGGCCATGGAGTTCTAGTGATGCGCTTAGCAACGAAAAAGAGTTTTAATATTTGTTTAAATAGATAACTAGTGACACGTCCCGGCTTCGCACAGGTTAATCCAAATGTATCCTACACATAGTGCATTTTTTCCTAAGCTTCGTATTAAAAGCTTTTCCGGCCCGCCTCCTTTTAACTGGGTATTAGAGCCTATGGACATCAACAACGTAAACGCCGCCACTAATCTTGAGAGAAGAGTTTGAAATCTCAGTTTTATAGTAGGTACAACGGCTACCCTGCAAAGCTAAACGCATTAATGCTTCACGGCAGCAATAGGAAGGGTGATGATACTCACTCCTACGCGTTCATTACAATTTTTAATATTAAATATCTTCAACGGTGATTTCTTGTTCTTAGTTGTTTTCTGGTGTGCAGTAAAGTATATTCTCTCTCTCTTTCTTTCTCTTTCTCCCTCTCCCCCCCCCCTCTCAAATCTAAGGGTATGTAAGTAATTAGAAAGCGTTCTTACTCTATCAGCAACTCCACCGGGGAGGACGCTCTTGACCACCACTCCCGAGGACCGTCCCCCCACGATGCCGAACGCCAAACCGGATCCATCGTTGACTAGTTCCACCACTTCAACTTGAGCCCATTCGCCGAATACCTGCTGTAATACAATAACCTTGAAACTGTGACATAAAATATTCGACTTCTCCAATTTTATTTGTTTAATAAGTCGTATTGTTTACTGGCGGGAACTGGATGAGAGAAGCCGAGGATCGTGCTCAGTGGCGAACAATTAGAGAGGCCCATGTCCAGCAGTGGACTGCTATAGGCTGATGATGATGATTGCCGATGTTCACGGTCGATGCTGTCTATTTCCTGTCATTGGCGTGCCAGGATATAAGGCACTACTTTTGCTTAGATTCAGTCTAAATTTATTCACGAACCTCTATAGCCAACACCGGAGAATAAAATTAAAACGGAAATAGTTTTTATTTAATACAATCACTCACCATGATGCGCTTTATTCGCTTTTTACTGCGAAATTTGCGCGGGCGTATCTCCAATCAGCTGACCTTCTCCGCCATGTTTGATTCTCACTGACAGCTGTCAAGGAAACACCCGAGAACTTCAGAGGAGGTCGCAAAAGAAGATCCAATCGTTACGTCACTCATTCTTTTATTGGTCTTTAATTTAAAAGCAGTAGATCTTTCGATGAATTAACTTCGTTGTATTGTTTTCTGGAACAAAGAGACAGAAGTTTTTTTTTTTATTTACACATGTAATGCAATTAGTAGAGGAATCAATCTTAATATTATGAGTGATTTTTCCATTACTTTTTATTTATTTCCAACGAGGATGGTCATAACTAAAACTAAATATAGCTTATGGATTATGGCCCTGCCACAGAATTTAGGGGACTCTTTTCAAACCTCCCTTAAAGACGAATGTGAATCGCATTTCGTGGGTATCGCGAACCTATTCATTTTAATTCGGCTTGCGAGCTTACGGGGAATGAGGCCGAACCTCATGAGAGATTCCGCGACTAGGGCGCGCGTGGTATGTGGGATTTAACGGTGTGCAGATGTTGAGAGCAGACCGCAGGCCCAAGAATGTTTTAGGGCCCTACTCACCAAACGACTCCCTTTACACTCTCTTACCCGACCAATCTCCGCCCGCCTGGGAGGCTTTACTAATATCTGCCCTAAATAGAGCAGTAAGTACTACGCTGAATCTACCACCGGCTCGGAATCGCAACTCACTGAGAAGATCTGGCGAGAAACTCAATGAACTGCCCCCATTTCAACCGTTAAACAACACAATTGACACTCCGATGTCATTTTTCAAAATGCGTAGCGGGGTTCATATCGGTGACCAGTAAACAGTAAGTTATTTAACCTAGCGCAAAGGTTATCGATCGTTTATTTGTGTATAAATTATTAATTAATCAATTTATCATCCCACAGACGTTCACTGCTATATGCCTCCTCGAGCTTCGACCGGTCCTGCGATGGTTTTATCCAGGGTATCATCTCAGTCTACTGTAAGGCCACTCACACTACGTCTATCGGTACTCAATCGCAACTCGAGAACTTTTATGCTCCAGTAGCGATTCTTCTCATCATGTTCCCTGCCCACTGACACTTCAGCATCGCAATCCCATAGGGGCATATCGGTTACCATGAATAAGTCGGACTATACCGATTTTCATGAACAATTATCATCAGTACTTACATAGTATAAAACAAAGTCGCTTTCTCTGTCCCTATGTATGCTTAAATCTTTAAAACTACGCAACGGATTATGATGCGGTTTTTTTAATAGATAGAGCGATTGAAGAGGAAGGTTTATATGTATAATAACATCCATTAAATAATGGAGAAATCAATAATAAATTACAGTATCCGAAGCGAAGCGAGGGCGGGTCGCTAGTAATCTATATATTAATACGTGAAGCAAAAACTTTGTACCCCTTTTTACGAAAATTGCGCGGACGGAGACGTATGAAATTTCCCACACTTATAGAGAATATAGAGAAGGAGTATTTAATATATTTTGTACACACAGCTGTTAAAAGAAACACGACAATAAGGATACAGAGTACAAGAGCACTACTTATTTCATGTTGAAATCTCTCCCAGTAGGCCCGCAGAAGGAAAGAAAAATTAGGAACACAAATAACCGTTGTAACTATACTGAGACCTTAGAACTCTTATCTCAAGGTGGGTGGCGGCATTTACGTTGTAGATGTCTATGGGCTCCGGTAACCACTTTACACAAGGTGGGCCGTGAACTCGTCCACTCATATAAGCAATAAAAAAAAATTTCAATGTTGTTTTCTTATTATATCACAGAAAACACAATTAAGTCCTTTATTGTTTATTCATTCTTAAATACTCCATATCATTATATACATACTATATAATAGTAGAAATCTTCACAAAACAATCACGTGCATTAACACTGGAATACCTACATTAGAATTCAATGTTAAAAACGTAATTAAGTGAAGCCATGAGAACAAATGCTATAAATTCACTCAATGTCAAACGGCGGAGAAAATTGTCAGATAAGGTTTTGTGTCGTGGCGTGACGTCATCCCAGGGTTGACCGTTTCATGTTCAATAACAGGAATATTACAGCTTTATAGTCTAAATTACATGGCATCAGCAATGACGGAATTGTATAATTGATTTTGCTTTTTATATTCCTTCATTTATGAGAGTATTAAGCGGTAGGCAGCGGCTTGGCTCTGCCCCTGGCATTGCTGAAGTCCATGGGCGACGGTAACCACTCACCATCAGGTGGGCCGTATGCTCGTCTGCCTACAAGGGCAAATAAAGGAGGAAAAAAAAATTACTTCATTACTCCTTCATTCTTCATTTCTTTATTTCTTCATTTATTTCTCTACTGGTGGTAGGACCTCATGTGATTCCACAAGGGTAGGTACCACCGCCCTGCCTATTTCTGCCGTTAAGTAATGCGTTTCGGTTTGAAGGGTGGGGCAGCCGTTGTAATTCTATACTGAGACCTTAGAACTTATATCTCAAGGTGGGAAGCGCATTTACGTTGTAGATGTCTATGAGCTCCAGTAACCACTTAACACCAGGTGGGCTGTGAGCTCGTCCACCCATATAAGCAATAAAGAAAAAAATATCAAATTTGCCGTGCAATATATGATAATAATATCATATACACTACAAGAATCATTTTATTTACGAACACCCATCATTTCACATGCATACTATATTGGTATAATAACCGGCAAACTTCTTGAGCATTTGTTGACGTAGTGGGGGTAAGTTTGCGCATGGTACACTCACGTGCAAAAACATTATTTACTCTGCGTCATAATGCTATTAAATTATTAAAATCAACATATGTATTTATTTAAATATTTATTAGAACATCAACAAAACATATAGGTTAATAATTGTAATAATTTAATCTTGGGGTAAAATAGATATTCCTTCTATTAAGTCAAAACTAGAGCTGTTTCCAGGTCTTGGTTCAGTTAAAGCGAAGCTGGTATTTGTAAATTTTTTTTCGTTATCATAATCTTGACCATCATCATCATCACTGTTTTCATCACCCGAGTCGCTATCATCGTGATGAGTCGACATAGGGCTCATCGGCGTAGTTTACAACTCGGTCTTTTTTTTTGTCTATAATTAATTATTTTTTGAAGATATTCGATTCGTAGTAATCGAATGTTACTTTTTTCATTTACCAGCTTCCGATTATTTTCTGTTCTTTTTTTCCATCTGAAGCCTAGCTCTTTCATAATTCGTCGTAAGCTTCATTCCGAGCCATTAAAATTTATATCTTCTTTAAATTTGTCGAAGCCTTTCTACGGNGAAAAGGACAAAGTACTCTTTCTGTCTTTTTCAAATAAAATGGCATGCCTTAAAGTGTTTAAACCGAAAAACTAAAAAAATACAATTATTGTATTACAATATTGAAGTTTAGCAGAAACTAAGAATTTTGGGTTGAGCCACTTTAATTCTAAAGGTACAAAATAGTATTGAACACGTGACATTACCCGAATAATTTTGAAAGTAGTAGGCTCCTATTAAAATGCTGTTAAAAAGCATTGTATTTCATTTAGACGGTCTAATGCCAAAACATCACGTGCTACCAATATACGAGAAATAATATTATTGCTGCTCTCGGTGAATAAACGCCCTGCGAAGCGAGTAGCATATCTCAACTCACACTCACAATTCTTCATTTTTCACCGTATAGAACGTAAACTCGATTTGATTTTGATTTATTCATTTACAATTGAACAACTAGGAAAAAAAGATGAAAAGACATTTTGGAGGGACCGCGAGGAGCTAAATTGTGTGAATTGTTTTATTTTGTCTATTTAATGTTTCTTAGTTAATGCGTATTTAATATTTCTTCGTGTATAAGTGTAATTTTGAGACCGTCCTGGCCTAAAGGTTAAGGCGTCCGGTGTATTCGTATCTTGCAATGCACCGGTGTTCTAATCCCGCCGGCGGGTATCAATTTTTCTAATGAAATACGTACTTATCAAATGTTTACGATTGACTTTCACTGTAAAGGAATAGCATCATGTAATAAAAATCAAACCCGCAAAATTAATTTTTGTAATTACTGGTGGTAGGACGTCTTGTGGGTCCGCACGGGTAGGTATCACCACCCTGCCTATTTTTGCCGTGAAGCAGTAATGCGTTTCGGTTTGAAGGGTGGGACAACCGTTGTAACTATACTGAGACCTTAGAACTTATATCTCAAGGTGGGAGGCGGCATTTGCGTTGTAGATGTCTATGGGCTCCGGTAACCACTTAAGATTAGGTGGGCCGGGAGCTCGTCCACCCATCTATGCAATAACAAAGTAACGTGGGTTTATTAACTGTTTAGTATCTGTGAAAGTGCGAAAATTTAAAAAAATTAAACAAAACCGCTGGACGTAGCTTCTCGAAGTCTTCGAAAAGGTCCACTGAAAAAAATCTCAGTATATAATCAGCATTTTGCAGAGATTATATTTTATCCCATATTATCTGATCTCATTTCATTTCATTCCATGCCAATTGATTAATGCTTCAAATTAATCAAATCCATTTCACTCCATATTATCATTTTTCATAAAAAAAGATTAGGCTTTATGGCATGATACTTTTGCCTCTCTAGTTGGAAAAATAGAACTACTAAAGAAATACTCGATCGAAACGTTAAAACCCACTAATTTGTAACACGCACTCGCACAAATGTCATTCGTGGTACTCATTTCGATAAAATTACTCGGTTACGAGATCACAACGTTAATATGAACTCGCACTCACAAAATAACACCGGGTACGTTTGCCGCTAGGGGCGCTGTTCCAATTGCATACAAATTTGAGCAAACTGGCTCGCTATCGAGAACGTTACAAAACTCGCACTAAGCACACAGGTGGGGAACAGACGCACCTACCAGGTTTTTTTTTTAGTTATTTGGGTACTTTCGAGGTTCATCAGGTTGACCAAATGTGCAGGCGAGCTCACGGGGCTAAGCTTGACGAATTTATTAACACCAGCCATAGCAAAAACAGTGCTTTGCTGAATTTACTACCGGATCGGAATCGTGACCTGGCTAAAAACTCAGTGGACTTCGAATAGTTATTAGTTATTATTGCTCATGGATGTCAGCAATACCAGAAGCACGGCCAGGCCAC